TTTTTTCAACCAAAGTATTTACTCAATGGGGTGGAAGTTAGACTGAAATTACATCGAAGAAAAATCAGTCTGCTTAATCAGTTCAACGAAAATCCAGCATTCAAAGTAGTCATCACCGATGCTACCCTCTAGTGAGAAAAGTCAAGTTGAGCCCCAGCTACAACTGGGACACATCGAAGCGTTGAAACAGGGTACTGCAAAATACCCCATCGATCGATGCGTTATGAAAATCGCTTCCATCCCGGCTGGTACAATGTCATTAAACAAAGATTTGATCTTCCTCGGTCAGCTGCCCAAAAGGACCATCCTGTGTCTGGTTTCTAATACGTCTTTCAACGGATCCTACGAAACCAATCCATTCAACTACCAGAATTACGGTATCACATCACTGGTCCTCAATGTTAGAGGTGAGCAAGTTCCGGCAAAGCCGTTGAAGACGGACTTCACGGCAGGTGGTGGTAGAAGTTGCATCATGGCTTATTACAGTCTATTTACCGGTACAAATAAAATGGGACAAGACCAAGGCAACGGCATCACTCGAGACGAATATCCCGAAGGGTACACAATCTTCGCATTTGACCTCACTCCCGACGAATCTGCCAGTGATTATCACCTCAATTTGATACAAGAAGGAAAGATTGGTCTTGAGATTCAGTTCAGACAAGCATTGACTGAGACTGTGTCTGTTTTGATTTATGCTGAATACGACAACGTTATCGAGATTGACAGAGACAGAAACGTATTGACCGATTTCTAGCTGCGATGGACACGAATCAACTGAATCGTATTCTGTCGACTAATCCATACACCATACACTAGATCAACTGCCTAAGGCAAAAGTGTTGGAGTATCCTGCAGCGTTCGTATCAAACACCGATGACAGTAGCGGAGGTGGGACACATTGGGTGGCTTTTTATCTAAAGATTCCCTACCGCGGAGAATATTTTGACTCGTACGGTTGTCAACCTTATTACGTGGAATTTAAGAGATTTCTCGATAAAAACGTTTGTACATGGATCTACAATCATCAAATACTACAAGCTCCGTTCTCTACAGTGTGTGGTCAATACGTCCTGTATTACTTGCTGCGCAGATGTCAAGGGGAACATATGAAGTCCGTAGCCGACTCTTTTACGCATGATAGACATTTGAATGACATTTATGTGAACAGATATATCGAAAACGTAACCGGACTCAACCTCCCTATTTATGACAAATATTTTTTCCCACGCAGTTTTACTAGATGACTTATACTTTTGAAATTCCACATGTATATATAACTTGTACCCTCTTTATGTAACTATCGATTTCATATTATTTCTCTTTTTTTTCTTTTCATCACAGATGAGCGATTCTGATTCTGATTAGAAAAAAGTGTGTATTGACTCTTCGATGTTACTCGTTTTTTCTCGTTTTTTTATTATAATCGAATACTTAACCGCATTTGAAAATGTATGTATTTCAATGTATGTATGTATCTATGTATTTTCAACCTTTTTTTAAAAGGTCGTTTTTTAATTCATATTATTACTCCTAAGAATATCATTCTTATATTACTCCTAATAATTTCATTCTTATATTACTCAGTGTGAATACTTAACAGCGTTTGAGAATGTATACCATTTCAATTTATGATTAATTACTTCAAAAAAACAACAAAACACAAAAAACAAAAAATCAAAAAATATATTTCATGTAACTGATCTTACTAGTTTTTTGTCAAAATGTATACCCTATGTATTTCAACCATTTTAAAATGTCATGTTTTTTAATATTAATATTCTTCTTTTATGTAATAAACTCTGTTAGTTTTCAAAATGACGTGTATTTGTGTGTGTGTGTGTGTGTGTGTGTGTGTGTGCGCGCTCTCTACAGCTCGTTCAGA